CAGCCTTCATAGAATTGAAGAGAGTTAGGGCCTTGCTGTGGATTAGGCTTTGGCTTAAGGAAAGGTTGTGGCTGGTTTGATCTTCTATCCAGACCAGTAAAACTTCCTTCATATCAGCTATAAGGCTGTTTCACTTTCTTATCATTCGTGTGTTCACTGGAGTAGCACTTTTAATTTCCTTCAAGAACTTTTTCTTTGCATTCACAACTTGGCTAACTGGAGCAAGAGGCCTAGCTTTCAGCCTATTTCAGCTTTCGACATCCTTCCTCACAAAGCTTAATCATTTCTACCTTTTGATTTAAAGTGAGAGACATGCAATTCTTCTTTTCACATGAATACTTAGAGGCCATTACAGGGTTATTAACTGGCCTAATTTCAATATTGTCATGTCTCAAGGAATAGGGAGGCCCAAGGAGAGGGAGAGAAAAGGGTGAATGGTGGTCGGTGGAGCAATTAGAACATACATAACATTTGTTAAGTTCACTGTCTTATATGGGCTCGGTTTGTGATGCCCCAACAATTATAACAGCAACATCAAAGATCACTGATCACAGATCACCATAACAGATATAATAATAATGAAAAAGTTTGAAATACTGCAAGAATTACCAAAATATGACACAGAAACATGAAACGAGCACATGCTGTTGGAAAAATGGCGCTGAAAGACTTGCTCAATGGCAGGGTGGCCACAAACCTGCAATTCGTAAAAAATGTAATATCTGTGAAGCGCAATAAAGCGAAGTGCAATAAAACGAGGTATACCTGTAATATATCCTGTACCAGGGCAAAACTAGAAAATAGGTGAAAAGACAACAATGAAAATTTTTTTAAAAGTTAAATAAAATAAAAAAATATGGTGAAGTTTCATTTTGATATCTTCACAACCTTTATTTTTACCATTTCCTTTACCTACCTCCCAGCATTTTCCTCTCATTAAAGAATCTCTCTCTTTGGTAGGAGCCTGGTGGCGCCGTGGTTAAGAGCTCCACTGCTAACCAAAAGGTTGGGAGTTTGAATCCACCAGCCACTCACTGGAAACCCTATGAGGCAGTTCTACTCTGTCTTATAGGGTCGCTATGAGTTGGAATTGACTCGACGGCAACAGGTTTTTTTTTTTTTTCCCTCTCTTTGCTCTGCTCTGTTCTGCTCTTGTATCCCCTGGAAAGGTTTCCATGGAGACTGCTATAACTGTACAACTATTCAATTCAAATTTCATGGTATACTAAAGATGATATAAGTCTATAATAGTCATCCATTTCCTTGAATTTAAATTTTTTGGGTTAGTCCAAATAGCCTCATTAGTCTCACCAATCGTCTTCATTAGTAAATATGGTAAATTCAAACCTAAAAATAAATTTATATTAACAAAATACCTTCATCTCAGGATGTACGAAGCTACAAGAGAATATCGTTTCCACCCTAACAGCTAGAAAAAGTCAGATAATCTACAAAATCATAATTTTCTTGATTCCATTAGAAATTTGAGGTAACAAGGCAACCAAATAAATGGAATTCCAAAGAATAAAAAGCCCCCTCTAAAGAGAGATACCTCCACGCATCTATCAGTTTGTTCTGTGGAGGCCTGCATGTTGCTGTGATGCTGGAAGCTCTGCCACCAGTATTTCAAACACCAGCAGGGTCAGCCATGGTGGACAGGCTTCAGCTGAGCTTCCAGACTAAGACAGACTAGGAAGAAGGACCTGGCAGTCTACTTCTGAAAATAATTAGCCAGTGAAAACCTTATGAATAGCAGCAGAACACTGTCTGACATAGTGCCGGAAGATGAGCCCCTCAGGTTGGAAGGCACTCAAAATACGACTAGGGAAGAGCTGCCTCCTCAAAGTAGAGTCGACCTTAATGACGTGGATGGAGTCAAGCTTTCAATCTTCATTTGCTGACGTGGTACGACTCTAAATGAGAAGAAACAGCTGCAAAAATCTATTAATAATCGGAACATAGAATGTACAAAGTACAAACCTAGAAAAATTGGAAATCGTCAAAAATGAAACGGAACACGTAAACATTGCTATCCTAGGTATTAGTGAGTTGAAATGGACTGGTATTGGCCATTTTGAATCGGACAATCATATGGTCTACTATGCTCGGAATAACAACCTGAAGAGGAATGGTGTTGCATTCCTCATCAAAAAGAACATTTCAAGATCTATCCTGAAGTACAATGCTGTCAGTGATACGCCTACAAGGAAGACCGGTTAATACGACTATTATTCAAATTTATGCACCAACCACTAAGGCCAAAGATGAAGAAATTGAAGATTTTTACCAATTTCTGCAGTCTGAAATTGATCAAACATGCAATCAGGATGCAATGATAATTACTGGTGATTGGAACGCAAAAGTTGGAAACGAAGAAAGATCGGTAGTTGGAAAATACTGTCTTGGTGACAGAAACAATGCCAGAGATTCGATGACAGAATTTTGCAAGACCAACAACTTCTTCACTGCCAGTACCTTTTTTCAACAAACATAAACTTTGGTGACTATACACGTGGACCTTGCCAGATGGAATACACAGAAATCAAATTGACTACATCTGTGGAAAAGCTTAATATCATCAGTCAGAACAAGGCCAGGGGCCAACTGCAGAACAGACCATCAATTGCTCATATGCAAGCTTAAGTTGAAGTTGAAGAAAATTAGAACAAGTCCACAAGAACCAAAGTACGACCTTGAGCATATCCCACCTGAATTTAGGGACTATCTCAACAGTAGATTGGATGTGTTGAACACTAAAGACCGAAGACTAGATGAGTTGTGGAATGACATCAAGGACATCATATGAAGAAAGCAAGAGATCATTAAAAAGACCGGAAAGAAAGAAAAGACCAAAATGGATGTCAGAAGAAACTCTGAAACCTGCTCTTGAATGTCGAGTAGCTAAAGCAAATGGAAGAAATGATGAAATAAAAGAGTTGAACAGAAGATATCAAAGGGCAGCTCGAGATGACAAAGTAAAGTATTATAATGACATGTGCAAAGACCTGGAGTTAGAAAACCAAAAGGGAAGAACATCTTGGGCTTTTTTTAGGTTGAAGGACTTGAGGAAAAAATTCAAGCCTTGAGTTGCCATATTGAAGGATTCTATGGGCAAAATATTAAATGACGCAGAAAGCATCAAAAGAAGATAGAAGGATTACACAGCGTCGCTATACCAAAAAGAACTGGTCAACATGCAACCATTTCAGGAGGTAGGTATGATCAGGAACTGATGGTACTGAAGGAAGAGGTCTAAGCTGCACTGAAGGCATTGGTGAAAAACAAGGCTCCAGGAATACCAATTGAGATGTTTCAACAAATGGATACAGTGCTGGAAGTGACTGTCTAGGTGGAAAATCCCATAGAATCTACCAAAAGTTACTAGAATAAGTGAGTTTAGCAAGGTTGCAGGGTATGAGATTAATATATATTAATCAATTGTTTTCCTACACTCTGTTGTGTACCATCAAGTTGATTTTAATGTATAGTGACCCTATATGACAGAGTAGAACTGCCCCATAGGGTTTTCTAGGCTGTAATCTTTATGCAAGCCGATTTCCAGGTCTTTTCTCCTGCAGAGCCAGTGGTGGGGTCGAACCACCAACCTTCTGGTTAGCAGCTGAGAGCTTAACCATTGTGCCACCAGGACTCCTTCTTATATGCTAGCAATGGACAATTGGAAGTTGAAATTAATATCATAGTACAATTTACAATAGCATCCTCCCAAAATTAAATACTTAGGTATATGTCTAACAAGATATATGTACCATATGTATCTTAAAAACTATAAAACATAGAAATATCAAAAAAAGACTTAAATAAAATGGACATATATACCATATTCATGGATTAGAAGACTCAATATTATTAAGATTTCAATTTTCCCCAAATTGATCTATAGATTCAATGCAATATAAATCAAAATCACAAGAGGCTTTTTTTTTGGTAGATACTGATCAGCTGATTCTAAATTTATATTGAAAATCAGACTGCACAGGATGATAAAAATGATTTTGAAAATGAAAAGTTAGAGGACTCACTATTTGATCTTGAGACTGACTATTAAGCTAAAATAATCAAGACAAGATATTATTGACATAAGGATACACATAAAAATCAATAGAATTGAATAGGGAGTCCAGAAATTTACCCAATACATAAATGGTCAATTGATTTTTGACAAATGTGTCAATGTAATTTCATGGAAAAAGGACAGTCTTATCAACAAATGGGGCTGGAACAAGCGAACATTTATATGCCAAACAATGAACCTGAACTCTTACCTCACACCATATACAAAAATTAACTCCAAATGATTCATATATCTACACACAAAACCTAAAATGATGAAACTTCTAGAAGAACACATAGGACAAAATCACTGTGATTTTGGATTAGATAAAGACATCTTAGATAAGACACAAACCATTTTAAAAATTGATAAACTGCACTTAATTAAAAGCTTCTGTTCTTTGAAAGACACTATTAAGCAAATGAAAAGACAAGTCATAGACTGGGAGAAAATATTTGTAAAACATGTACTGATAATGGACTTGTATTCAGAATATATAAAGAATTCTCACAACTCAATAATAAGAAAGCACAAACGAGAGGTATGAATCGAAAATAAGACACGAAAAAACGTTCAACATCACTAGCTATCAGGGAAATGGCAAAACCTATTGGAATGGCTAAATACCAAGTATTCATGAGGATGTGAAGCATTTGGAACCTTCATATATAGCTGGTAGAAAAGGAAAACTCTAGTCACTTTATTTACTGAGCAAGTCTCATGCCTGTATCAAGAACTAAGCACTTGGCAAGACACTGGGCATACAACAGTGGAAAAAAAGACATGAGTCTTGTCCTCAAGACAAGACTAGTGGGGGAGATGGATATTATACAAACAAAAATGTTATTTCTACATGCTTATAGCATGTACTAGCAAATGCTGCAAATAGAATTATATCATACTCAGTATATTTCTAAATGAATATAGTTTAGGATTTGAAAGAATAAAGAAACTCTCAAATATGAGTATAACCTGTTAACTAACCTACTGCCATTGAGTTGACTACAACTCATAGCGACCCTACAGGACAGAACAGAACTGCCCCATAGGGTTTCCAAGGAGCAGCTGGTGGATTCGAACTGCCAACCTTTTGGTTAGCAGCCATAGCTCTTAACCACTGTACCACTAGGGCACCATATGAGTATACAACCAGGAAATAACACAGGCACAGTCATGCTTCTAGGGCAATATGAGAAACACATTTAGGACAAATGGTGCCATACAAGTTATGATTATAAAAGTCCTGCATACTATTTCTGTACCTTGTATAGATTTCTATTACTGCACTTATCAGTCTATACAGTATTTATTTACAGGTTGGTCTGTATGAGTCGGAATCGACTTGATAGCAATGGATTTGGTCTGGTCTCTCTTACTAGAATATAAGCTCCACAAGGCCAGGTATCTTTTTTGTTTCTCTGCTTAGTGCTTGGCATTTAGCAGAGATTCAATGTTTACTGCACTGAACAGAAGTCAATTTAAAGTAATAAGAGATAATACTCAGTGTATTTAGATATATGCTTCTAAAAGATTTTTAAAGCTAAGTTCTAGGGAGAAAATCACTATTTTAACCTAAACCAATCAAGCCTCACCTCCGCCAAATAATTCACATAAAGCCTATAACACAAGAGGTGTTAAAAGAAGCATAAAATTATCCTGACTTTTCATCAGCAACTTAACAATACTTAAAATTAAAAGGTCCAATTTCCAATAAATACAAACTTTTACTAAAAATTAACTTTTGTGTAATATGAATAGTACATGATTAATACCTGAGGGAGCTGTTGTTGGGGTTTTTTAGGTCTTCATGAAGTTTTATCACCCATTCCTGATACTCTTGCTTTTGGATAGCAGTTGATTGTTTTAATTCATTTGTCCATTTATTCTCTAAGTCCTATAAATAGAGAGTATGCCAACTGGTTAGTTTTTTTTTACAAAAACAAATAAGTAAAAAAAAAAAGTAACTTTATCACCCTGAGAGTATGGCACCCGGACACCCTTTTAACTCAGTACTGAAGTCACTCCTGAGGATCACCCTTCAGCCCTATCAAACAAACAATAACACACATAGTTCAACCGTGTATATGAGATTAAATGGGCACATCAGCCCAGGGGCAAGGACGAGAAGGCAGGCGGGGACAGGAAGGCCAGACAAATGGAAATGGGGAACCCAAGGTCAAGAAGGTGAGACTGTTGATATGTTGTGGGGTTGGTAACCGATGTCACAAAACAATGTGTATTAATTGTTTAATGAGAAATTAATTTGCCCTGTAAACTTTCACTTAAAGCACAATTTAAAAAAAAAAGAAAGAAAGAAAATGTAACTGTACAGCTAAAAGTCAATGTATTTCACTTACTTGTTGGGATTCAAAATGCTGAGCAGCCAGTGAGTTTACATCTTGATCTGTCAATGACTTTCCTAATTCCTGCATCACTTTTTCCATTTCAATGCCCTGTCTAAAATGTAAATCAGTAGATCAGATATATTCATAAAACTTTCAAGGTATATGGCTACTTTAGATTCATTGAACAATTTCTGTTTTTGTTGTTGTTAGTTGCTGCTGAGTTGATTCCAACTCATAGTCACCCCATGTGTGCAGTGTAGAACTGCTCCATAGGGTTTTCAAGGCTGAGACTTTTCAGAAGCAGATTGCCAGGCCTGTCTTCCAAGGCACCTCTGGGTAGGTTCTAACCACCAACCTTTCTGCTACTGAGCTCTTACTTAACTGTTTGCAGCACCCAGGGATTCCTTCAATAATCTCTACAAAGTGAAAATAAAATTTTTATTTTATAGGAATATGTCTAGCAGTGGGGATTATAATACCTGGAAAGCATTTTAAATCCTTGGAAATTGAGATATGGAACCAATGATGATAATGTCATGTACTATCAACAATGTCATCTGTACAGCCAAATTTTAATCTAAATTTAATGCATAAATGAAAATAGTCAAAATATAAGTGACTTGTAAATTACCACGGCTAATGTTTAAAAATACAGACCTCTTTTTATCTGCAGATTTTCTCAAAGATATTCTACAATTCCAATTTAAATACATTTTCTATTTATTTCTACATGGGCTAAACTGACTTCAACCTCTAAAAGTTTATTTTATAATCAGAAGCTGCCAATTAGGTTCTAAGAAAAAAATTATTAAGTCATAAAGTTCCTTTTATGGAGGAAGGCAAAATACATTCTGAAGATATGTTAGTTTTATCTTCTTCATTTATCCAAAGAAAGAATGTGTAGAAATTAAAAATGGTTTTCCTTACTGGAAAAAATAATCTATGGTGTCAGAAGTTCAGATAATGGTTATTTACGGGAGGAAAGGGGTAGTGACTAAGAGGACATGAGGGAGCCTCACACAGGGCTGGGAATATTCTATTTTTTGATCTGAGTGATGGTAACGTGGGTGTGCTCACTTTGTGAAAATGTACTGAGTTGTATAGCTACAATTTGTTCCCTTTTCTGTATGTATGCTATATTTTAATAAATAAGTTCATTGAAAAATTTCAAATCAAAAAAATTATCTTCTAACATAAATGTAAAAAAATTTTTGCTCTTATACATATTTCAAACCAGATTGGAAAGAACAAAATATAGACATGAACTAAAAGGAATTTACTATCATTCTAAATAATTTAAGTAATTTTTTCTTAAAGTGAATCTGTATTTATTTATAATAACTGATTAAGATTCCTACAGGTATATGATAAATGAAACTCATTCACACAGGCTATATATATATTGAAGTATTAAATATTCAGTATCATTTAATTCCTACTTAGTTCTAATGCAGGTGATTCTGTTAACTACTTAATACCTACTACAGGTCAGGTGAAGATTATGCTTGCAAGTGAAGTTTTTATTTAGAAACAGAAATAGCTGCTAAACATTAATAAATACAAACATATATAAATATATATTAATATTTTACATTACACGTGTTCCCTCTAGTGGATAAAAGACATCATTGTCATTTTTAAAGTTTAAAGAAATATCTTGAATCTGGTTTGCTTAAAAAAAGCAAATTTCCAGTGAGGGGGGAAAAAAACTTTAATAAATAGGATTTCAAAAAATAAAATTTCACTAACATTTATTTCACCCTAAATGTGTCAGGAACGCAAGTTAATGATACAGTTAACAATAGAACTATTTTTCCTACGATTAAGATGAAAGGAATTTTTATTCTATTTGATAAGAAATTTTAAATATATATTGGCTTAATATGTCAGAAGTGACAACTCTGGCAACTTTATGTTATCCTGAAAAGACTTAAAGAAATCTTATCTACCATGGAGAACATAGCTTATTTTTTGTTTTCAAGCTAACAGTTTGGGTATATGAAAAATAAAGTATAAAACTGTTTCAAAAATGATGTGCTCAAATATCATGTATACGTTTAGAAAGAAACAAGAGCAAAGCCCCATCAAGAAGTTTGGCCAAAGGACATTTCAAAAAACAAAATAACTCCTACTAAAAAACTGTTCCACAATAAGAAAACAAAAAACAAAACCAGAATAAGGTACAGGTAAATGCAGATAATTGGTAAGTTAATTCAGCTTCTCAAAAGGTGAAGAGTCATATAGAACAGGAATCATTTTCTAAGTTAGGAAAAGAACAATTACAGGAGTATTGATACTTGAGAGTCCTGATGGAGTTTTCTGGTAGGTACAGTGAGTAGGCAGTACAGTAGCTCACCAGGTGAATGAAAGCACTAGTAATGGCTGTTGATATGAAGTGTAAATAGACAAGATGGGAATTTATCAATATACTTAAATAGGCAGAAGGAGTGTAGTCCCAGAAAACCTGAGATCTAAGAACAGAGTCAGAATGAGTTGAAGCCTATATTATTTGGATCTCTGGTAGGAAAAAAACAAACAAATTTTATGTTCAACAGAAAGTAATTAGTATTAAGTAATTAATTTTGAATTTCTTCTTTTCAAAATACATTTGCAATTTACTGGCTACAAAATAAAGAACTAGATGAAAATTAAATTTTCGTCTTCCCTGGGGACACTGCTTCAACTATTTACTTGGTAGCAACTACCCATTCTGCAGGCATCACATCTGGAAAGCAATAAACTGCTTCAATACAGCTAGTGGGCAAACCCAGGCCTATAAAAAGTGACAAATGTCTCAAAACATCATTTTAGACATAGAGTTCTAACACTTTTACTACTAGATATGAGGATAAAAGATCTAGAGGAGTAGAATTATTATGAAACTTTATAAATCTATGCAATATAATAAAAATACCAATCTGGTATAGAGAAGAGAGTATCCATCAGTAAAAACGATTAAATTCATTTGCTTATGATTTTTTTTTTTTAATTTTCTTAACTATGGCAGCCCCATAACAGATTACTCTCATTTTGCTAGTCCCACTGTTTTCTAATGGGAAACTGACAGCCAGGAGCAAATCAGCACATCATTACAATTATTAAATCAGTCACAAAAAATAAATGTGGTTGGGCCCTCATATACCCTCACAATTAAAGAAATTTTACATCAGTAACACTAAAAAATTTATCTTGATGTCATGTATACCCAAAGTCTTAAATAAGTGTTCTTAAGGTAATAAATGTTATCAAATTCTGCAATATTAAAATAGAATATCTAGAAGGAGTGTGTCCTGAGTTCATATTACAATTTATGCCAGGAAAGTCATGCTTTAAAATATACAATGCTAGCAATTTTTACTTACTCTGAAAAAAAAATCATAAAAGTATTGTTTGTGTACTGTAAATAATCCATACAAAATGAATTTATGTCTAATTAAAATTTCTTATAATAATCCTAGTATCATTTTTATCTTAATGTAAATAAACTTACAAAATGGATTGAAAAAGACTGTGGACCTAATTACACAGCAGGGTAACAAATAGGTACTGAAAAGGGACACATGGCAGAGTAGTTAACAGCTATGGAATCAGACTTTCTGGTTGCAAGTTCCAGCTTGTCCCTACACAAGTTACTTAACTTCTTTAAGCCTCAGTTTCCTCATCTGCAGAACAGGGATAACAATAGAAGGGCTGTAGTGAGGATCAAATGACACAGGGCATCTAAGACATTTTGCACAGTGCCTGGACCTAACCAAGCCTTCAACAGATGTTAGCTATTCCTCTTATTAGAAACAAGAATATATAAGGTCAGGATAATTTATTTCAGGAAAATCATTTGTGGAGTTCTACAAATCTATGATGACACTCAGTTGAAATTACAAATTTAAACATAATAAAATTAATTTCTAATATTAAAGATTTTTCTATTTTATTCTTTAACTTTACCAAAAATGAAAACAAATTGTTCTGCAGGCCATCATATTTGACAATGTAACATTTAACCATTATATTGCAAGAAATTTGAAATACCTCTCTCGTAATTTTTTCAGCTCCACATCTCTTTCACCAATCAGTTCTGAAATACTGACAAAGTAATTATGTTCCAAATTTAGAAGTGTTTCAGAGGCAGGAGAATGGATTAGGTCATGGTACACATCTGCAAAATCTTCATCCCAGCTGGGCTCTTCAGGCCTTGCATGCTCTAATGTGGTCTACAAAATACATAACCATTCTTACATCATAATACAGTATTCTTATTTAACACACTACTACAAAAGTATGTATTGCATAATCCCATTTTTGTACATCAGACATGGACAGAAAGACCATACACACATGTATATAACATGTATATGTGTCACAGAGGATTATATGAGTACAGAAAAAATATGGAAAGATATAAACTAAGTTGTTAATGAGCTACCTCAGGGGCAGGGATGAGGGTGAGTTGCTAAGTGGAGGAAAGGACAGGAAGTGTCTTCAATTAAAAAAAAATAAGTATGATGATACTATTTCTGTAAAATAACTCACACACACTCTCATGCACACACACACACACCACACACACGAAGCGATGGTCAACAAAATGCTAATGGTTGCTTTTCAGGGCAGTGGGATTTCTGATAACCTTTACTTTCTTTATATTTTAATGTATAATATGATAATTTGCATGAGTTAATTACAGAATCAGTAAAAAAGCTTTTCATTATCAAAAAACACACTACTAAAAAAAGGTTTTATAGGCTACATTTAGGGTCTTTATGAGTTGGAATCAACTCGATGGCAATTGGTTGGCTTTGGATGTGGTCATGTGTGGTGATACACTGAACTGGAAAACCCAATTCATGCATGTTGTTGTTAATTTCCGGCCCATGGCAACCCATGTGTGTCAGAGCAGAGCTGCTCCATAGGGCTTTCCTGGCTGTAATCTTAACAGAAGCAGATAGCCAGGCCTTTTCTTCTGCAATACCACTGGGTGGGTTCAAACCACAAACTTTTAGGTTAGCAGTCAAGCACAAGGATTTCTGTATCAAGGAAAATGTGCAATTTTCTTATTTTGACCTTTTCTAGCATTCTTTTTTTTTTTTAATGTAAGCATGTGTTTTTAAGTATATGAGAACAGTAGCTATCAAAATGATAAAAAGAGTGACTAAGCAAGAACTGATAAGCAAGAAAAACAGAAACACAGAGACAGGCAAAAATGGGGATGTCCTCAGCACACACAGATACATCCTGGGAGGTACAAATGCCTGTCCCAAGGACAGCCACCTCAACCCATCAGACAGACAGTGTTATTAAAGAAAGTTGACAAGCTGAGAAATTTCTTGCCAAAGATCATACAATTTAATGGCAAAAGTGGAAATAAAACAAAGACTTGCATTGCAGTTCAATGTTTTTCCCATTATTGATGCTTGAAAATAGATATTTGTGAAAAAGAACTATCTGTTCTTCCCTTTTCTTACCAAAGTAAATGTTAAAAACTGGGACCTACGACATCACTCAGGTTAATAACAAAATAAACTCATAAAGAAATCTTGAACTTGGCCAATCAATAGGTAAACTTCTCCCCTTGTTCTCTTTCACTTATACCTTATTCCTCGGTCAGGAGGGAGGAGTTTAAGAAGACTAGCTGAGTCTAGAACTTTGGTTGCATCTACTCTATGCCTCTGGACGCTTGAAGTCTCATTCTGATAACTGCTCTACATCTTTAGAATCTGGCACAGCTCTAGGAATTATGATCAGCCCACGTGACTTAACCTCTGTTCAAAATTAACTTCAAGCTCAGGGTGAAACTTTGTAGGAAGCAGCCAGTGCAAGAAAGCAGAGATCTGTTCGGCCATACATAACTCTAGACATTCTGTAACTCCACTAACCAGATTGCCTAACTATATCAATTTGCAGCACCAATTTTAAATTCTGCCTATGGCAAGCCTAGGTAAAAGCTACCTACAAGAGAAACCAGGCAGAGTTTTTCTTGAAACTCACGCCACTCCCTCACCAGACAGATGATACTAAAAAGGCGGTATTCACAGCTGAGAGGATTGGGGCACGGAGTAAGGGACTGCAAAGAGAAACCTCTTTGGTATCTGGGCTGTTATTTCTCCATCTCCACGTTCAGGCACAAAGCCTGGCTTCTTTAAGGCTTTAACCATTAGGCACCCCTTATCTCTCAGGGCCATCTTTATTTACCTATCTTTCTTTCATTTTTTTTCATTTAAAGCTTTGGTACTCAGTTCACAGCCCCAAATTCTGCCATCATCCTGGGTCACTTCAATGTCCATATAGACAACCCATACAATGTCTTGCCTTCTTAGTTCCCTGAATCCCCTATCTTTAATAAATTCTCTATTCCACCTCAGTCATCCATTCATAGTAGCATCAGGAGCTGCTTAACTCCTAAAATTCAAACCAGATTTGAATTGCTGATATATTCCCAATGCCCAGCACAGAACCCACATACAGTATTCATTGAATAAATAAAATATATGAATAAAAAGTAACCATTATCTTCTTTTTATCTCCACTACCACTATTTTAGTCTAAGCTTTCATTATTTCTTATCTCTAACTGTAACAGTCTTCTAACCTATTTTAACTTTTCTCTTCTCCAAGCCATTCTTCACACTAATACACTGAGCATCATGAATCTTTCTGAAATGCAGATATGGTCATCTTATTCCCTGCTTAAACTCCTTCAATAGCTGCTCGTTACCCTTAGCATAAAGGCAAAACTCAAGATGGCTTGCAAAACTTTTCTCCAGCCATTCTAGACATCTTTCAGTTTTTCTAATGTGCCATGGACTGGCTCACTTCCAGGCCTTAACATATGCTATACCCTCTACCTAGAATATTCTTTCTCTACTCCCCTACCACACACTTTTCACCTAGCTATTTCCCCCATTTCTTCAGACCTCAGCTTAATTACTCTTTCCTTTGGGAAGTGTTCCCTGAGTTCTCTAGGCTAAAATATGTGTACCTGCTTTGTACCCTCATAGCACTCTGTAGTGTAGCTCTCTGATAGCACCCCATCATAGCACTTAACACATTCCGCTGAGTTTAATTATCTGTCTCCTCTGTTAGGCTGTAAACTCTATGAACGCAAGGGTTGTGTCTCTTTTGTCTTTTGCTGTATCCCAAGTGCCTAACACAGTATCTGATATGAAATGGGTGCTCAATACCTATTTGCTGAATGAATGAATACAAGAGTCTGAAGAAGGGAAGAATACTGAAATGGCAAATAGGGCACTACCAAAAATAAATAGCCTACTTCACAGTTTTGCCAAGGGTTGGCCCTGTTTGGCTTTCCTTATCTATTTAAGCTTATCTTTCATTACTTTAAAAAAGAAATTTAACCCAATAGTAAAAGATAAAATAGTGATTAGAAGCAACTGACTCTCTGACAGGGAACAAGAAACGGAAACACAGAACAAAGTAGAATGGCCCTACCAAGTAGGGACTAACAGCCACACACACTTCAGTAAACCATCAGAACCTCCTTATACTATACACATACATCAATCAAAGTACAGCTCTGTACCTCAGGGGCAATGGTCCTCTACAACTTAAATCCCTCATATCAAAGCGGCACATTCAGTACATCTCTGTAGCGATGGACAAACAGACCTCCCTTCTCAGTAGTTTCTTACTGTACAGTATAACTTACATTTATAATGATGACCCTGGGTCATCAAGGAGTTAGAACTGAATTTTATATACTGTGTTCAAGACAGCAAGGAAATGCACAGTATGTTTTTAAAAGATCTTCACCAAAAGGTGAGTGAGGTAAAACTTTCATGATTTAAATGTTAGCATCTGAAATATCCAGCAAATCCATTTACAGAAAACTGAGCTCATCCTTCATAGTCGTAGGTAACTGGTATTACCCTAAACATCATGGTATTTCACCCCCCTAAACATCATGGTATTTCACCCCTTTACTGATACTCCAATTATTCTCTTCAAGGTTACTGAACGCAGTTTACCCATATCCTGCAGAGATGCTTTAGCTGCCTTCTGTCTCACCTACTACCCTATTTT